AAATTCAAATCAATGAACCAGTCTTACAGAAGCAAATGTGAAGGGGGTGGGGGGTCACTACGCTAACACGATGGACTGCAGGTTCTAAAGTGGACACTTGTTTCCATAACATCACAGTCCAAAAGGCCCTTCTTTGTGGCCAAACATTTCTTTTTTCCATTTTTTCATCATTTCTCATCATGTTTCTATAACTGAAATGGAAGATCTGATCTTTTTTGTTATAATTCTCAGCTTTTCAAGCACTTAATAAAAAAATAGATTTCTTGTGGGCTGTTATGCTTTTACGTTGACAGGTGGACAGGTGCACCTTGAGGTGGAAAAGGTTGAGAACCCTGATCTAGAACACTCTTTGGCGTGATGGAACTCCATCCGGTACCTTTGGGATGAGTAGGAGTGATCCAGAACTGATCATCCAACATCAGTACTTGCCTTTACTAATGCTCTTGTGGCTGAATGCAATCAGATCCTCACAGCAATGTTCCAACATCTAGTATGAAGCTTTCTGAGAAGAGTAGAGGCTGTTACTGCAGCAAAGCAGGACAAACTCCCTGTTAATACTCGTCATTTCAGAAGATGCGCTGGATGAGAAGGTGTCCACCGTTTTGTATGCATAAAGTTCCCTCAAACTGAAGACCATTTGGGTAATAGGCTAAGTTTGACATCACATTTCTCCACAGGTTTATACTGAAAACTACTGCATGAATAGTTACCTGGATTGGACAGATCTGAAAATTTCTTCCAGCAGAAGAGAACAGCCAGGAAATGTGCTGAAGTAGAAGACCATGACCTGCATTCATCTTCTGGGGAGTTATACAATGTAGGCCAAATGTCAGTGGATCACCTAAAGCAGGAGCTGGAGGTGCACATAAAGAGACAGCAGCGGGGAAAGTCTGAAATGGCGAGGTTGAAAGCGAAGGCATTTGATTATGGACCTTTAGACGAAGTTCACTGGCCTGAGTAAGGAAGTCATGCTGTTTTGGGAGGAGGAAGCTGATCTTACTTGCAAAACAGTTTTGCAGAGTTGGCTGTAGAATGTTCTGGTAGCCCCAAACCACATTTCCTTTCTTCTTCAACTTAGATATGCAAGGAAGAAGCGGGAAGAAAGGCTGAAAGCGTTGTTTCAAAGACTCAGAGGAGAGTAGGCACTCAGTTAGGCCAAGGCAAGACCCTCAAGATGGTCCTTGGAGCCAACCTATTTGTTCTAAGTGTGGGGGTGTAAGACCTCGCTGATCCTGTAACTAAACTGAAATATGAAAATATCTCCGGACTAGTCTGCAACAGAAGACCGCAGTGAAGTGCTGCCATGATGCTGCGTTATCATGACAGTAACGTGCTGTATCCGGAAGTGGATTGTTGGTCTTGCAGCTGTGATAATGGCTATGTAAAGTACTGTGTTAAAGTCATTTAGATTAGATATAAGATAATCCACTTGAATAAGGAAGGAGAAAATAAGTGGAAAAACGTGAGTTTCCAAAACTGGAAAAACACCTAGTAGACACCAAAACTGTCCCCATCAGATAAACAGCACTTAAAGCACAGCCATCCTTCCACTGTGAGAAGACAACTCAGCGCTATGGGTCTGAAAGGATGTGTAGATGTCAAGAAGCCTCACTGACAAAAGGATACAGACACAAATGGACTGACCACCCCAGAGTCCAGACTTCAACATCACTGAACGCGTTTGATTACTTCAGAAAACTGCACAACCAACTTCTAAGACTGAACTGAGGTGTGTCTGCAGATTCTTTGGAAAATTGGAAGCTGTAATAAAGGGGAGTGGACACACTAAACACTGAAAAAAATTATATTATATTGAGTTGTTGAGGATTCTGTGTAATTTTCAGTTAAATATGCATTTTATGTTTTTTTTTTTCCTGAAGCTGAAAATGAATAACGTGCCCTTAGTGGCTGTTTTGACTGGAAATTAAATTAACGAAGGGTGTCTGACTTTTTCACAGTACTGTAAATGTAGCCTCTATCACTACCAATAATGTGTGTAATCACGGTGTAATGTGAATTGAACAATTTCTCACTCATAACTCAGCAGAGGAATGACATGCAAAGTGTCTGTCAACTTTCAACCCACACCAGATTTGTGTTTGCATGTAGAAGAGGAGATATTTTAGCGGTAACATTTTATTTTGAGTGGTCCTTTGTAGATGGTTAATAAACTCAGATTATCAGTAACACATCAACAACATATCAGTGAAGTAGCAGTTGTAACATATGACCAGTCAGCAGACGCTCGCGAACAAAGCTTTACTTGTGGATTCAGGCAAGTATAACGTAGTCAGCAAACAGGCATGGGTCAGTTCCAATATAAACAGTAGTAGAGAAATGGCTACCATAACAGACAAGGGGAAAACAGAGCGAAGTCCAAAAATCAGGCGATGGGTCAAAACCATAAATCCAATAAACCAGGCAAAAGTACACAGGGGCAAATCCAAAAACAGAGTCAGAGAAGACGGAAAGCAGAAGGTCATACACACGATAGATAACAGGAAGAACGCTCAGTAGTTTCTCTAAGGAAAGCAATACCTTGCAACGATTCTAGCTATAGCCCGGGCTAAAATACTATCTATCTGAGTCGTGTGACACAAATACACAGGTGCACAGCATTAGTATTCAGGTGATCTTGAACGGTGATAGGATGATTAGGATCTCTGCGGAGTCATGTGAGCTGGCTGAGGATTCTGGGAAATGGAGTCTGAGTCATTACTGGCCAGCGAAAGGAAATAGCTCCGTCTCCTGATTCCCCAGTGTATTCTGGGGAATGTAGTTCGTTGGCTGACTAGCCGAATGCGTGACAGCAGTAGTGAAGCATCTGAATACACTGAGGTAAATATCTTGTAGATGTTCTGTTGATGCATTACTCACATTAAGTAGATGTGTTGTTAATATGATACTTCCATTACACAAAAGCTAACCTTACCAACCTTACCCAACACCTAACCCTCACCCTGGCCCTAATCCTAACCTTAACCTCAACCCAAAACCTAATCCTAACCAAAACTTAACCTCAACCCAAAACCTAATCCTAACCCTCACCCTGGCCCTAATCCTAACCTTAACCTCAACCTCAACCCAAAACCTAATCCTAACCAAAACTTAACCTCAACCCAAAACCTAATCCTAACCCTCACCCTGGCCCTAATCCTAACTCTAAGCCTCACCCTGGTCCTAACCCTAACCTTAACCTCAACCGAAATCCTAATCCTAACCCTAACCCGAACCTTAACCCAAAACCTAATCCTAACCCTCACCCTGGCCCTAATGCTAACCCAAACCTTAACTTTAACCCAAAACCTAATCCTAACCCTCATATGTTTTTGACATGTTACTGAGAGTCTGTTGAGTGTTTGTTTCATCTAAAAAGGACCACTTCAAATAAAGTGTCACCGTTTTATCTTATAATTTAATTCAATATGTTTAAAGGTTGTTGTCGAACATTCAGTCTTGTTTTGCGGAAAGAAGAAACAACATGATGTTTAAACAGACTCGAACCTGTGAAAACGGAATGCGTATTGTATTCAAGTGTAATTTGTTATGTTTATAACCATGCAATTAACTAGCTAACTACATAGCTACATTCAAAATGTATGGCAACAATGTATGGCTCTTCTTGTTAGGCTTAATCCAAGCAAAAGTCAGCAAATATGGGGGAACTGTGATATACGTATTTCACAAATATAGCCAGTTTATTTACTGTCCAAAACCACCAGTGAACCTCCACACGTCTTCTGAGTTTGTATATGTAATGTTGCTGTTGGTAAAATAGTCAAAATGAGAAAAAATAAGTTTTCTTTTGGGACTATTTTGCTTCACAACACCCTGCATGTGCCCCTCCATCATTAATTGATTTTGAAAAAATCAATTTTAAACCAAAATTTTCTTAAAACTATTGTCAAACTGTCTCAGGCATCAGGCAGTGTATTCATAACATTTCATGTAATAACTTCCTGCATAGAGACTTCTAGTGGTGTTAAGCTCTTCAGACGTCTGGTTCCCATCACCACCAATGTGAACGACTCTGATTCAGAAGTATTTCATATTAGATTCACTCTGAGTGACAAACTATGCAGAAATGTTGAAAAATCAGAGCAACTGCTGTTTAATACACTATTGAAAATGATGGTTCCTCAAGGGTTCTTTAGTAAAGAAAATGGTTCAATAGAAGAACAATGAACATTCATAGAACCTGCATGATTAAAGGGTTCTTTGCATTGTGAAAGGGTTCTTCAGATTGATGGAAAATATGCTATAGATGGTATAATCTAGAACCTTTTTAAAAAGCTTTCTCTATAGCACCAAAAATGGTTCTGCTATAGTTAGGATGTCAAGCTTGTACCAAAGGAAGAACACTCAAAGAACCCTTTGCATGATTATAGGGTTCTTTGCATCATGAAAGCGTTCTTCAGATTGATAGAGAATGTGCTCTATAGCACCGAAAGTGGTTCTTCTACAGTTACCATGTCAAGCTTGGACGAATAGAAGATGGTGCCATATAGAACCCTTTTTCAAAAAGGTTCTATATAGAAGCATCTACAGCACATCCTCCATCAGTCTGAAGAGCCCTTTCAAGACGCAAAGAACTCTTTTATCATGCAAAGTGTTCTTTGAGTGTTTATGGTTCTGTGTGGAAACTTCAATTTGTTAAAGAACCCTTGAAGAACTTTTTTTAAGTGTGTACAGAACGGTTCAGTTTATTCTGCAGTACCTGCAAATTCCTGACTCAGCCATTGTAAACAGCAAAGGTAAGGAGCTGAGAAACCTGTGAAAACAGCCAGAAGGTTTAGACAAAAACATGTTCTACCTTGATCTAGTAATTCCATCCTTCAGGCGAAGATGATGCATAAAATCATGGTGGAAATCAGTGACCAGAAATATCACCTTACCACTTGCGTGAGAGCTTCTGAATCTTTGGGTTCATTCATGAAGCCTGCATTGCATATAAGGTGTCGGTGCTCAGGAACCAGCAACAATAGCGACGCCGGACATCCCTGCTGCACAATAATGAGAAAGGCCAAAGGTAGTGGATCTTCTGTGAAAGCTATTCTCTAGCCTACAGGGATCTGAGTGCTATTCCGAAACCTTGTTTCTCCAAAATAGTAACTTTTCAGGAGAAGGAAAAACATTCTTAACTTTTAATGTACATTATGTAATGTATTCCAAGTAATTTTGGACCATTTCTATCAGTCCATTCATCATGAAATGGTAACACAGCTTGAGTTTTTGAATGACATAAAAAGATCAAAACTAAGGTTTTGATTTGACACTGAAGACATACAACTTACCAGTAAACAAGGGTCATTTTTAGCATTAGTTATAATGAAGGCTATAAAAATGAACAGTAACGTTCAGTCTGCTCATGCTCCCTGACTCCCTATGTCCAGTTCTGCAGGGCTGGCTGGGGATCCTGTTCTGCTCCGTCACCGGACTGCGGGGTTCTTCCCTGGACTGCACGGACCGGGATGCTGGGGGAGCGCGCTGCAGCATTTCAGTGGAGAAGCTTCTGGATCGAGCCATCCAGCACGCGGAGCTTATCTACCGCGTCTCAGAGGAGGCCAGGACACTGTTTGTGAGTAAAGCACTACAATCAATACCCACAAATGGAGCTCATTTTATGTGGTTAAAACTGTTAGAAAGAAGTTCCCACTGGAACAATACTAAGTGCGCCAGTGTTCTTCTTTGTCAGCCAGGCAGCACACAGTGAGGGCTGTAGTTAAGCATCTATATCATTGTAATGGGATATATAAGATAGAGTTTGTGATTCGTCTTTGCATATATTGTTTGTCATAAGAAAACATTTTCATATCTGAAAGAGAAACAAAACAACAAAATGTTCTTAGGTTTGATGTACAGTTGAATGCAGACGTTTGAACTTTTTTTGCACATATATATATATAAATGTAGATATATGTGTATGTGTGTGTGTATATATACATATATATATATATATATATATATATATATATATATACTATATATATATATATATATATATACATACATATAGATAGATAGATAGATAGATAGATAGATGCTTTTAAAAAAAGATGGTTCCTCAAGGGTTCTTTAGTAAAGCCAATGGTTCTATATGCCTAAATGATTCTTTGCATTGTGAAATGGTTCTTTAGACTGATGAAGAATGTATTGTTTATGGTTCTATATAGAACCAAAAAGGGATTTGCTACAGTTACAAGCTTGACATTGTAACAATAGAAAAACCTTTTTTAGTGCTATATTGAACCATTTTCAAAAAGGTTCCATATAGAACCTTATACAGCACATTATCTATCAATCCAAAGAATCATTTGTGTGTATGCGTGGCATATATATATATATATATATATCGTATATATATTGTTGTCGGAACAAAACCTTGTATCTCCAAAATGTTAACCTACTTTACTTTTAATGTAAGTCAGTGGAACCAGACCTTTTTCCAAGTCATTTTGAGCCATTTCTTTTGGTCCATTCATCATGAAATTTACACACAGTGTAAAGGCCAACAGGCATTTTCAAATCTGTCAAAAATTGAAAAATGCTAATGTCTTCTAAAGTGTGCTATCACTTTTGCACAGGCCACATTTTATGTTTTTTTTTTTCAATATGTTAAATTCAGCAAATAAATGATAATTGTGTATTAAAATGTGCAGAAGTGTGTCTCTGTAGACGATGTTTTCACTTGTTTTCACTTAGAAAATCAAGAAAACATGGAATTTGGCCAGGGGCACCAAACGTGACTATCCAACTATATATTAACGTTACATAATGTAAAATAATGTTATTTAATGTTCTGCATAATTTTGCACCGAACCAAGCCAATCATTTTTAATATCACAGATATTATTGACTTAATAATTATTTCCATCAGCAATAGCCAAATATGTAGGTGGAGTTCAGTGACGGATTTGGCAAAACACTTGACCAGCATAGCAAAATACGTTTATATTTTTTGGTGCCATGGAGCAAAAAACATTTCACTCGTATGGAATTCATCTGTCATGGAAAAATGGCCGCAAGCAGAAAATTTTGGAATGGTTTTGGTGTTAATTATGAATAAAACCCTCCGCACAAACTAATATGAAAAACTGTATATAAGTGCCAGTACAGTTCCAACGTTACTGAAGAACAAAAACGCATAGTCCTCCAAAACAAATGGAAATTGCATTCATGGCTCCTGTGAAAAAAGATCGATATAAAATGCTTCTCTATACAGATATTCAAACACTAAACGCTGCACTTTATCACTAATAATAAGCCTCATAAGTCTCATTATTACTTGCAACAACTTCTATGATGTAGAGCTCAGAGGTTGTAGAGTCAGCAGTAACTTTCCTAATTCTTTCTGTTGTTTTTTTTTTTTGCAGGAGGAAATGTTCATTCCTTTCTCTGCGCTCACTCAGCAAGGCCGTGGAAGCCACTTGTGCACGTCCAACATCGTCCCCATTCCTACATCCAAAAGCGAAGTTCAGCAAATTTCAGTAAGCAGCACTAAGCAGGGCTCTGCATTGTTCTTTGTTGCCGAGGATTCAGCTAACAGCCATAGGCAATAAGACAATGGGTAAAGGGGGTTTTATGGGACTTTTTGTGTTGTTGCAGGACAAATGGCTCCTCCACTCTGTCCTCATTCTCATCCAGTTTTGGGTTGACCCCCTAATGGACCTGCAAGCTTCTCTGGATCGCTACGACAACGCCCCCAGCACCCTCCTCAACAAGACCAAATGGATGTCGAGCAAGCTGATGAATCTAGAGCAAGGAGTGCTCGTTCTTATCAGAAAGGTATGGATGGAATTTTCCAGCCCGGCCCTTTAGCCAACATTTCTGTTGGTAGTGCTCTAATGTAGGGAATATTGATTAAGATACCATTTCTGTTTAGTGTTCTAATTTTGGGAATAGTGATTAGGTCAGCATGTATGTTCCCTTTAACAGTGTACAGTATTCCAGATTAGGGAATAGTGATTAACATTCCATTTCTGTTACCTATAATAGTGTTCCAATTTCAGGAAAATAGTAACGAAGTGGGCGTTTCTGTTCCCTATAACAGTGTACAGTATTCCAGATTAGGGAATAGTGATTAACATTCCATTTCTGTTCCCTATAACAGTGTACAGTATTCCAGATTAGGGAATAGTGATTAACATTCCATTTCTGTTCCCTATAATAGTGTACAGTATTCCAGATTAGGGAGGAGTGATTAAGATTCCATTTATTTTCCCTATAATTGTGTTCCAATTTAAGGGAAAAGGATGAGGTAGACATTTCTGTTCCCTATAACAGTGTACAGTATTCCAGATAAGGGAATAGTGATTAACATTCCATTTACATTCCCTATAACAGTGTACAGTATTCCATATTAGAGAATAGTGATTAAGACTCCATTCGGTTACCTATAATAGTGTTCCAATTTAAGGAAAACAGTAATGAAGTGGGCATGTCTGTTCACTATAATAGTGTACAGTATTCTAGATTAGGGAAAAGTGATTAAGATTCCGTTACCGTTCCCTATAATAGTGTCCAATTTAGGGAACAGTGATGAGGTGGGGATTTATGTTCCCTATTATTTTGTTCTGTAGTGGTAGAATAGTGGGGAACAGTGGTTAGGCAGTGTTTCTGTTCCTTATAATACAGTTCTATATGGTGTTCCAATATAGCGAATAGTGATTAGGGGGCCATTTCTGTTCCCTGTAACAGTGTTCTGTATAGTGTGGACTTGTTAAACTTTAAAAAAAAACTTTTAAACATTAAACTTTAAAACATTCCTTTTTAACCTTGCATTTAATTTGTTCCTCTTTCATTCTGGTGTCTCTGTATATATTCACTTCTTTAAGAATTTCTTTCTTGTTTGCTTTTAATTTTGACCTTAAAGTGCCCCAACTCTTTTCCTCCTGACCACAGATGCTGGACGAAGGCAGTTTAGAGCTGCACAATAACGAGAGTGTGACGGCTTACCTGGTGCCGCCGGACATGGTGGAGCACGTGCTGAGGGACTACGCTATGCTGTCCTGCTTCAAGAAGGACGCTCATAAGATGGAGACGTTCCTTAAACTTCTCAAGTGCCGCCAAACGGACAGATCCAGCTGCTCCTTTTTCTAGCCGTGTGAAGAAATCGGACCCAGGCACTTTACAGGATGATTTGGAGTTGAGTTCAGGTGCCAGAAAATACAGTAGATGAATATATATATATATATATATATATATATATATATATATATATATATATGTAAAAACAAAATATAAATTGTGCCATAAACTTTTTCACAGACCACATTTTATAATAGTCCAATGTGTTAAAGGAAGCAAAAAAAATTTTGTACACAATAGTGTATATTTTGTCTACCTGCCACATATATCTACATATATGCTTAACTCAAAAATACTTAAAATCCCATTTCAAACAACATAATTATAATGGAGCTCTTTATATTGTAACTATAATGGTGCTCTTTATATTGTGTGAACATGTTATGACAAATGGACTAATAGAAATGGTCTAAAATGACCTAGAATAAAATCTTGTTATATTAAAGGGGAATTCCACTAATTTTTCAAAAATTCTTCATAATTCAATGTCTTCTGAGTTTTTAGGTGTAATGCTGATGACGGTAAAATTGTGGTAAATCTAAAAAAATAAGTTTTATTTGGGTACTTCTTTGCTTTACTGCAGGGGGGTCTTTTTTATTTATCACTAGAAAGCATGAAGGAAAGAGGAAAAGAAAACTTTTTGCTTAAAAATGTCTTTTTTGGGAAATTTTCAACACAGCAATGTATGGATGACACTTTGTGCTGTGTACTGCTGACCATACAGCAGCAACAAATTAAACTAACATGAGCTTGTTTTATACGCAAGTGGGCGATTACCACTGGCTCCTCTTCAGTTTTGGCACAAGGACCACCAGAGGGTGCTTCATGGCCCACTTATTGTCCGAAGCCCTGTGGTTGAGAAACCCTTCCTTACAACAGCCTGCACTAACTTCTCTACCATTCATATATTTAGAAAAACTAGGACCAAAACCTTCACAAAACTATCATAAAGCAAACTCTCAGACATCAGGCAGCAGATTCATGACTATTTTATACAACATCTTTCTGTGATGGAGCTTTCAGAGGCATTAAACTCTTCAGACGTCTGGTTCCATTTACTATCAGTGCAGGGACGTAGCTAGAACTTTTAGAATGGGGTGGCCGGACAAGAACCAGAGATTTTCTTAGGTGGCCCACTGCTAGAAAAAAAACTATAACTAAGTGAAAGAGGATTACTGAATAAAAATGACATAGAAAGTGATGTTTTTTCTCTGTACATAATTAAATCTGCCCATCATTTCCACATGAATAGAATATTACATATTACAATCATTGCCTGTATGAAATGTTTATGTATTTGAGTCATTCCTTAGAAACTGGGGTGTTTGTTCAAGTAAATTAAATTAATGCAAATCACTTTTTTCAACCAAAACTCCTCCCAGTACAACCAAACCTATTCCCAGTACAACTGAAACTCCTCCCAGTACAACCAAAACTCCTCCCAGTACAACTGAAACTCCTCCTAGTACAACCAAAACTCCTCATAGTACAACCAAAACTATTCCCAGTACAACTGAAACTCCTCCTAGTACAACCAAAACTCCTCCCAGTACAACCAAAACTATTCCCAGTACAACTGAAACTCCTCCTAGTACAACCAAAACTCCTCCCAGTACAACCAAAACTATTCCCAGTACAACTGAAACTCCTCCTAGTACAACCAAAACTCCTCCCAGTACAACCAAAACTTTTCCCAGTACAACCAAAACTCTTCCCAGTACAACCAAAACTCTTCCCAGTACAACCAAAACTCCTCCCAGTACAACCAAAACTCTTCCCAGTACAACCACAACCCCTCCTAGTACAACTGAAACTCCTCCTGGTACAACCAAAACTCCTCCTAGTACAACCAAAACTCTTCCCAGTACAACCAAAACCCTTCCTAGTGCAACTGAAACTCCTCCTAGTACAACCAAAACTCCTCCCAATACAACCAAAATCCTAGTGCAACTGAAACTCCTCCTAGTACAACCAAAACTCCTCCCAGTACAACCGAAACTCCTCCCAGTACAACCAAAACTCCTCCCAGTACAACCAAAACCCCTCCCAGTACAACTGAAACTCCTCCCAGTACAACCAAAACTCCTCCCCGTACAACCAAAACCCCTCCCAGTACAACCAAAACCCCTCCCAGTACCGCTGAAACTCCTCCTGGTACACCCAGAACTCCTCCTGTTACAACTGAAACCCCTCTCAGTACAACCGAAACTCCGCCTAGTACAACTGCAACTCCTCCCAGTACAACCGAAACCCCTCCCAGTACAACCAAACCTCCTCTAATTACAACCAGAACCCCTCCCAGTACAACCAAAACTCCTCCCAGTACAACCAAAATGCCTCCTAGTACAATCACAACTCCTCTCAGTACAACTGAAACCCCTCCCGGTACAACCGAAACTCCTCCCCATGCAGTACATCACTGGACACATGATCCGTGTCTACAAGGAAGATATTCAGAGGACGCACATGGTTGGAGTCCAGATCAAATGAAATGCTTCATAGCAATATGGAGACACGACTACACAAAACAAACTGCAGACGAAGAAGCTGAAAGGATAAACAATAGGTAATTGGTTGCCACGTAACGAGCAGATTTGCATATAGGAGACGTATTTGACTACCAAGTGTAAACGCATATGGGTAATATCTTATCATGATACAGTCCAGATACATTCATTCAGATACATTCATCTTTACCACTGTGCGAAATACTCCATGGTATTCGAAGGGGGGGTCCCATGTTGGCTGGCTTCTCCAGCATTGGCGGGCTGCTGACCCACTCACCACAGCACCGCTAAATTGGCTCGATTTACTTTGATAATATGGTCTTCCACACATTAACTGAGATCTTACACATCTGCTCTTCTGTCTTCAGTTAGAGAAATGAGGAACAATTCACTTTTGTGAAACTGGGCCAGTTTTCAGATTTACAGATATGCTGCAGCCTACTGTAAAGTTTTTTCAGAGGTATCCTGGGTGTAGTCATAGTTGCTAGGCTATGAAGGACCAACTGGATGAACCAATTTGCTACAGCGCCACCCTGAGGCAGACCAGTGCTGCATCTCTAGTTAGTTAAATACCCAAGACAGAAGCTCACTGATTGTGGGTGAAGCAGCTAAACAACGACGTTTGACTGAATTTGTATTTGGGCCTATTTCCCTAATGGACAGAATAACGTTATAATTTTTTATTTTTTTTAGGGGGACCCCCAGAATTTTGATTTTGAGACATTGGGGGTCCAAGAGGCTAATTAGGGTGTCCCGGAACCCCCAGGACTCCCTGTATTTCGCATCTTGATCTAGTCTGTCTCTGTGTGTTTATAAGCTAATAATCATATAGCAGAGCTGGTTTATGAGGAGCCTGGCCACTTCCTATTTCTCCCGTTATATATCAAAAACATGACTGCAAAACGCCAGAGGGCGCCCACGAGCGAGTCCTCAATGAATGGGAGTGAATGAAGCTAAACAGCTAAAAACAAAAAGTTAAAATAGTTTCTAATCACTTGCCTTTAATTTTAAAAAGTAGATGGATGTATTTCACTAAAAAAGAAACTGACCTACATATTTCTACAGCAAAACAGGTTTTGGGCAGCAGGACGCTGGCATTGCTGCTACTGAGTGCTGATTGGTTGGCGAGCAGAGCAGCTCATTGGCTGTTCACCTCTCTACAAGTTCTCTGCATATAGCATATAGGCCTACGAAGCAGGAGCTGGACTTCATTAAAGCTGTTTATGTGCCAGTGTATTAAAGCACATCTGACCCTTTTAACCCAAACTCTGACCTTAACCCTAATTAACATCTGCTTCTGTTATTCTATGCTCTACAAATAGCTTATTTTAACAGGGTTTTCAGAGGAGATAGAAAAGATTATTATACAAAAAACCCTCAACAAATAAAAGTATGCTCCCTGCATGACCTCAGGAGAGAGAAAGTAATTAATCCCTAGTTTGCTCATTTGTTTTTTTGGTATAAAAGCTCTGGTTATATGAAACACAGCACATACCATGTATTAATTATCAATAAAAATGCCAGTGTTTGCTACTTGAAGGCATTTGTTGCAGCAGAAAACATACATGCACGAGAAACCGTGTAGCCTTTATACTGTTCGCACATTAAAATTGCAGCAGCATTGATTTGCATCCTATGAAAGTTCGGAATGAGCCACAGTCAGTTCCTAAGATGCACGCTAAGCAGGCCCATCCAGCGTGCGAGAAAACAGGGTTTCAAATGAAGTCAATCAATTTTTTTAACAACTAACACCTAAATAAAGAAATCTGACCTTCAGAAAGCGAGTGATGTGAAAACAGGACGAGGGCCAAAAGGGGAGAGAGAAAGGAAGAAGAGTGGCAGAGCATTACGGCGGAAAGCTCTTCTCCGCGGGGGACCGGCTGAGACGGCAAATCGTCTGCGGAGACGGAGGGGTCAAGTGGGCAGAGTGATCAAGGCGGGACGTGGGCCGGCACATGGGCAGTGGAAGTTGGAATTATGCTGATTTTGAACTCAGCGTTTCGCCCTCGCTCCCACACACTCCTCCTTTCCTTTGTCCATCATCCAAAAACCTTACAGCTGCTAGGTATCTCTCTCCTTCTGCCTCTGTTTCTAAAAGTAGGTTTTTCTAGCAACTGTTAAACTGTCAACTATTAAAGTCGAACTCCACAGAATGTGGGAGACGTCCTCATAATGAGACGGTAAAGATGTAAACAGAGTCATTCAACAGGCATTACTGAGACAAAAGCTACAAACTACTTATATAGTTTTTGTCAGATTTATCAGTGATTCAAATATGTTTCTGAGACGGTAGTTTGGCCTTTAGTTTTGAGTTTTTAGGTCTCTCCCCTGCTGAAAAATGGACCATTAAAAACCAAGGCTGTGGTCTTGGGTCTGTTCACAAGACCCAAGACGGCTCTGATCTCTCTGAATGGGAACGCTGCTGAAAAAACAGAGAAAACTTTAAGAGTTTCTTTTGGCTTCTGATCTTTTTTCAAAGCATTTTGGCTTTTCAGTGGGACGGTATCACAATGTAAAGGATCCTTATGGGTTAACAGGTGATCAATGGCTGATTCTATGCATTTGATTGTTTCT